ATTTAGGCATGCAAAAATATATAGGGTACCCCATAGTTTGTGACAAAACATAGTTAGTGTGTGAGAAAAGCAGACTAAACTGAATCAAAAAGTCCTATACCATTTTGCAGTTTTTGCAAAGGAAAAATTTAATTACTAAAAATTGCTGAGTAAACAAGTATCCGTCCAGCCTACTATTAAAGGTAAACAAAATGTTTGTAAAAATTTATGGGACACCCTGTATACAAAATAAATTATAATATTATAAAATTTATAAATAAAAACTATTTAATAGTTACATTGCCATTATTTTTGGTTCATAAGTTTTTAAAGGTTTCGGCCTTTTCTTTTCTTGCACAATATATTCCAGTTTTTTATTTTGTAGAAATTCGAGTTCCGTAACCAGTTCTTTTATACGATCTCTTACGTATGGTGGATACTGGTTGAATTCATTTATTTTTAACAATTGAAGAATGTGCTCAAATATTGAATATGCTGATTCTAATTCTTGAAGCTGATTTTTAAATTCGATAAGTAGATTGACTGCAGTTAACAAAGATCTTATTCGAAAAATATCATCTAATTTTTCGTGGATTAAATCACTTGCAAACATATGTGTGCTGTTTGAATCAATTGTATTAGCGGCTTTATTGACTACCAGAACTTTATTTGTAGTTTTAAATGGGGGAATAATTTTCATATTTTGTGTCAAGACTGCAGGAGTTGTTATGTAGATGATGCCTCGTAAGAAATTAATCACAGACGGTGCAAATCGCTTGCTTAATATTGTATACTGTAATTTAAAAAAATGATTACAATTGCTTGCATTTTCTCAATTTAACACAATACGAAATGTGAATAAAATATACCCACTTCTAAAATAAGGGTGCATATAAAAAGACCTTTCGAAATATCACTTCGGTATTTTTTTATACGAGCTTGAATTAATATTTGCGACATAAATATTAAACAAGGACTAACAATTGGATGTCTGAAGTCAGATGTTGGAAACAACAAGGACACCAATTTAAAGAATATAAGCTGAAAAGTAATATATACATTTTAGGTACAATGTAGTCTATTTTAAATCATACAGTAGGATATCTTAAAATCGTTAAATTAAGAACTTTAAGACAAAAATATTTCAGCGAAAAGTTGCTGAGTTACAAAAGAAAAAGAAGTGACCGCGTGATTGACCTTTAGAAAATATCATAAGATCAGATAAAGTTACTTTAAATGTTTTAAATGAAATTATACATTTTGTATATAATTCTTTTAATTATTCTGCATATAAAAGTATTAAGATAAAAATACCAAAAAACCAATAGTTCGCGATATAATTTGTATTGCCACATATTGATATGAAGAATATTAAATATCTCGTAAATTATTAACTTTTTGATATACCTATATCTTAATATCTTTATACGCACAATAATTAGATAAATCATATTGTGTAAACAAATTCAAATTTTACTTTAAGAATTAAATTAATTTTGAAATGTCCTCTACCTATAAAATAATTGTTTTCACTATGTGATCCCCTATTGTACTGAACACAGTATTGGTATATCAAAACTACTTTTTCAATTAGTACCTTCAAATTTTACTAATAATTAAATCGGTCACTTTATATGAATTTTGTAAAGGTCTTACCGTGTCCATGCCAGGAAATTTTGTCTTATTTTTTTCAAATTTATTATATTTCTCCTCGATTACTTCTTGTATACAGATTTTAGCATTCTCTGAATTCATATGTGCTAAATCATAAAGATAAGGACATAATCTAAAATAAAAGTTACATATAAGTAAATGGAACTATTACATACACAATAAAGCATTAAAATAAATAAATAAATATATATATATATTTATAATATAAAGCTAATAAAATAAGTATATATCTATACCTGTCAAAGATTTGAAAACATTTAATTAAATCATCAGCACTTTCTGTAGAAGCACAGTTGTTTATATATTGTAATAAATATACAAATAAACTTGACATTTTTTCTCTGTTTCTGCCATCTAATGTCCAATGATTACATTTTATAATACGATCTACAATTACTGACTGATAATCTGCATTATAGTGACTTAACAACTTTTCTAACTCTTCATAACTCTCTGGAGCACTGTATGTATAAGATAATTCGTTCCGTGCTTTTTCCATTATCTCTTTTTGCTTTGAAAGATCGTTTCTGATCTGCTGTATTTTGTCACATGAATTTTGTACATGTGTACTGTTACTTTGTTTCAGTATTGATTTATGATTAATCTTATTCGACTGATTTATCTGTTTAGGATCTTTTGTCGAATCGTTACTAAACATAACACGTTTTTTACTTTCATTTACAACTTCTGTTTCACTTTCATCTTCACAAGATGATTCAGACATTTTTAAATCTGAGAAATCATCTTCAGACTCATCATTCGAATTTCCACTCTCTGAATCTTTGTCATTAAAATCTGTATCAGACTTATCTTTAGTATTAGATTCTGAATATTTTTCTTGATTTTTACTATCCTTTCTTGTATTTATGTTTTTAACTCTTTCCTTATCAGTGATGTATTCTGATTTATTTTCTGTCTGCTTATCATCATTATCATCTTCATCATTACTTTCTTGATTAATGTTGGTATCAATAATAATTGAATCATCGATGTCATCATTATCTTCAATAGTTTCCATTATAAAGCCATCCTCGAGATCATCCGCAGATTTATGCTTGAACTGATTACCAGTATCGCAGACAAATCCTTTCATTCTTGCCAGTCTGTCAGCTTCAAGTTTCTCCAATTTCTCTTTTTCTTCTTGAATAATCTGTTGTTCCGATTTCAATTTCTCGGATGGATGACCTCTAGCTTCAAATTTCAATTGTCGTACAGCAACATCATAAGCATCAGTCTTCGTTGTATCATCAATATTTTCGGTAGATTTTTTGGAAGCAGACATAAAGGGTAAGAGATCTTTCCATTCAGAATCAAGTTTCTCTGTGAGACCTATTGTTTCCTTCCGTATTTTTTGTTTTTCTGCCTTCTGTTTTTTCGATTCTGCAATAAGTTGATCAATTAAATCTTTCCTAGACAACGTCGAATCTGCTTTCGACAAAATGCCTCCACCAAAATGAGCTTCTTGTACAAAATTTTCATCTAGCTTGCCACTAACATTTTCGTTATCGCTAAATTCGTCATCACTCCTAGGATCATCAAATTTCTCAATCTCTTCAAGAGTTTGTCCTCTATGTGTTAATACTTCATCGTTTAAATTAAAAATCTTATCCCTTTTATGTGCTTTCATGCGTTCCATGGCAAACCTCGCTGTTGCCTTATCTTCTGTGTTCATAGCATAATTCTTTTCACCAATACGTTTGTCTAAAAAAACATTGTTTTTATCTTGTAATATATATTCTTGCAGAAGGCTTTGTTTACGCCTATTAATAGCTTTTGCTCTCGAAATTCCTGGAAGTCCACGATCATTTTTGCTCTTACGACCTAATACTTTTTGTTTGTCTCTATTAATCTGTATTTCAAATGGGTTTGTTTGATGAAACTGTTTCTTGTTTTTTTGTTGTACAGATTCCGATAAGTTTTTTTTCTTCATCTTACCCATTTTATGTAATAGTTTTGCGTATTAACGATACTATTTATCATATCAAAACTAAAGCAAAACTAAAGCGAATTGTGGCGCTAGAAAATAGAAAACGATAATAAGTCAAGGTAAAGGCAATGGAGGGTAACCGTCTCAAAAATCGATTAAATTATACTCATTCGACACGTTTTTCCATAAAACGAAAGAATTTTGCAGAAATAAGCGTCGCTCTGTCCCGCAAACCGAGATATTAAGCGTTAAAATTAACAAAATATTGAGGTTAGGAAACGTGTCACTGATTATTTGGCTAAAGTAAACAATTACTACAAATATTTTGGTACTTACCTATTGTAAATTTTTTATGAAATTTTACACGTACAATGATTGACGTACATACATGTGTTCACTCATCAGCTCACACGTGCTTGTATGTACTGAATCTGCATGAATCCATAATCATGCATCACATGGAAATGCAAATTCCAATTTTCTAATTCAAATTCCAAGCCGCGATCAGCGCCATCAGTCGGCGACCTAGTGCAGCCGGTAGCACACACGAGCCAAACCCGCGTAGTTGAGACATTTGGTTGCGTTCAGCAGGGAAAGCAGCTTTGCAACTGTTGTAAAATTCTTTAATATGATTGGTCTTGTCCTTACTTTCTTATTAGATCTAAATGTATAAGCCAATCATATTCAAGAATTTTACAACAGTTGCAAAGCTGCTTTTTCTGCTAAACGCACCTTTGATAGCGGAGAGAGGAAGTTCTACTCATTAAAAACTTATTTAAATATTTTTTGCAATAAGAATTAATTATTTACAGATTTCAATATGTTGTTCAACATTATTCAAATCTAAAATGCATTAAGAAGAGCATAAAAAATAATCAAGTTGTCGGACAATTGAATTCGATTAGCACTGCTATATAGTTTAGCAGAGACTTTTGCGTTTCGAGACCGGAAAATTGTTCAGCACGCAGTTAAAATGACTACACATACGTAGATAAATTTATATGAAGTTAAACTAACATCCAAGATCCAGCTAGACCTTTAAAGATATTGTTTCTTATTGATTGTATTTCTCACAATGAATATATATATATATACATATACGATCTATAAGATTTAATATTAATTAATTTTTACCAATAATTCACACATAGTTTGGATCCTGTGTGCGATGTTACCGGGTGCGTTCCCATTCATTTCGTTTTAGTGCAGTAACCAGTGGCCGCCATTTTGCTGGATACTGCACTGGAGAAGCGTTCCCAAATGACTGGATACTGGCTAGTGACGTCGTAAATACATGCAGCCTCGCACGCGTAATAACCTAAAAATTGTGTTGAATAATGTTGAACAGTTAAGGTTGAAACATTATTGCTAGTAAAGATTATTGTATTGATAAGTAATTATTTCAATTGACAATATCAATAAGCGTAGCGTTATTTTCATGTATTCTAACGACGGCTATAACATATGTTTGTATAGTCACGTTGAAAAACAAATTATTGTACATAATTCTATTTTTTCAATAAGCTAACAATAATACTAGCAATAATTCTGTTAGCAATGGTAACTCTACTAGCAGTAATTCTGTTCACACTATTACAATTTTTGTATTACGCGTGCGAGGCTGCATCTATGTATGACGTCACTAGCCAGTATCCGGTCATTTGGGAACGCTTCTCCAGTGCAGTATCCAGCAAAATGGCGGCCACTGGCTACTGCACGTACTGAAACGAAATGAATGGGAACGCACCCATAATGAAATTATACCTCGTTATGATAATTTTCTGTTACAATCAGATATTTTCGTAACGTTCGAAAAGGATCATCATGCATGTGGGAAGAGGAAGAATTTTGAAAAGTTTGCAACAGATTGTTATCTTTAATAAATCAAATGACATACAAAGGCCAATCGCAGCAATTCTCATTGTTTTCTGCAACAACAAACTTTGATTCTCATACCCTATTGATTTAAATGTAATACTTCGCAAGGACACGTATTACTCCTAAGATATAACTTCTGAGGATCGCAGTATTAACGTGTTCAACGGCGCATCGTCCTTGCGATTGGCTTTCCTTTTTCTCAATCTCTTGTCTCGCTTTACAAAGAGTAGCTCGCTCGTTTTCGATTGTCGAGCTTACACATGTACACAAATTTAACATTCACGCACGCATACACACACGCGAGAGCACGCTAGGAGGAAAAAAAAGGAAAACGCAACGCGCGGAAAGATAATTAACTCTGCTCAATTCACTGAATCGCTGAATCTAAGTAACGTCTAATTTAACACTGTCGAAATTCTAATGGCGCCACTCAATCTCCCTCTCCTTTTTGGTTCACCTGTATCGCCTCTGTTGTTTTGTTTCCCCTTTATTCTTCGTAAAACTATACTTGAATCCAAATTTTGGACCACTCAAAAAGAATGAAATGCAAGTCCAAAATGAAGGAAAATATGTGCTTTAATATAGGTGAGAAGGGATAGGGAAGATTTGGCTGAAATCGAAATTGGGAATAAGAGGAATAAGGAGATGAATGGAAAAAAGCTGAATTCGCAAACTCAATTGATATTGTCATAATAAATGCTAAAAAAAAGAAAGAAAAAAAGATCAGCCGGCTCAAAGGCCAATTCAATATAACCTTTGCTATTAATAACAGTACACAACTAGCGCTCTGATAATAATAAGTATTAATAATTAATTATAGTGGTAATATAAGAAGAATACTTATAATATTAAGAATAATGACAATATAATCGTAATAATAATAATAATAATAATAATAATAATGACAATAAGAATAATCGCAGCAAAGATGCGGTTTTCGTTTTTTATTAATATATTCCTAAATAGTCGTCGCAATCATATTGGATCCTGACGTCATAAACGAGAAAAGTTAGTTTCTTGCATGGCATTTGTAAAAAAAAAAGAAAATATGGATAAAACAAAATAATCAGATCGCTTTAAAATATTTGTAAAAATGGAAAAAAGTTATTTCTTACCTGCCCTGACAATTGATAAATATAGTTGTAAAAGATACGTAAAGTGGAAATAGTTACACACATGTACATTGAATAAACGTCGTATTTAATTTTCTTCATAATCTTTTATAACCATTTATTGACTGCCAGAACAAATAAAGACAGCTTTCATCCATTTTTACAAATGTTTAAAGCAATTTTATTTTATCTAAATACTTTTTTATTTACAAATATACCCACAAGAAACTCTTTAACATGTCATTTTTCGTTTAAGACGATCCAATATAATCGCGGCGACACTCAGGAAGCTTAACTTAATTTTTTTACGAACTTCGCGCAGCGAGAAAGTTTATATTGCGATTGATGAGTCGTCCCGCAACAAAAGATGTAGATTGCATCCTGTTTATAGCGCAAATGTTGGATAATCGCTACATATAATTGTCGTCCGCTACGCATATCTATGACAAAGCTACGTGATAATAATAGCGCGTGACAATGGATAACAGTGATGGTGTGTGTGTGTGTAACTTCACCAAATATACAAAAACACAAGTATATGGAACTCCGACGCCACTTTGCTGATACTTTTAATACTCTAGCAAAGAGGTCTTTCGTTCACCAACCGCGCAACGTTCATTCGTAAAACAGCAAACAAAACACCAAAAGCTACTCCGTAACAGCTACCCTTTTTGTTACATGTATTACTAAAGAAAATTAAAAAAAAAAAGGAAAACAAAAAACCAAAGAACATACGATAGGGATAATCAATAGTCATATAAAATGCGTTAATTTATGTGTGGCAATAGTAGTATTAATCTTTTGTGTTGCTTTACTTCGATAGTACTTCTCCCACTAGACACGATTCAACATATAGAAAGTTCATCGTAATTATTTAATAATTTTTTTATTATTTATAATTATTCTCTTAAAGCTGTCTAAAGACTCACTGCGTGGCAGGAGCATCATGTTTTTTTCTTCTTTCATTTATTTTATATTACTTTGCTTATTCTTACATGTATCAGACGGTATCTTCATTTCTGTTTTCTTTATATCTGTTTTTCTTTCTTTGCGTTTGTTTAGTTAGGTACGTTTGTAGTTGTCCTCACTTGTTAATAACACATTTGTGTTTTGCACGCCGTATTGCGCGTATGCATTTAATAAGACAGCGTCTCCTTTTTCTAGTCACACCATAGAAGGATGTGTGTGTATGTGTGTGTATGTGTATGTATGTGCGTGTGTGTGTGTCTATATGTATATATTGATATCTTAAATATCTACTACTTGTAGATGCTTTTATGATTTGTAACTTGTATAGATCACAATATCATATCATCTGCGCTTTTAAACGATTTTTTGTGACTTTTATCCCCTGTTCTCATTTACAATGCTCCTTTGAACACTATACAATGTGTCTGCACAGATTGATTCTTGCTAATCTCACTCCACCTTTGAAAAAACAATCAATTAAATTTTATGATAAATAAAAATGTAAAGTATGATTGTGTAAAAGCTTATCAACGAAAAATGGAATATATTATTTTATCCATTTCATTAGATAACAACGTATGATATACACACATGCACACACATGTACACACAACAGAGCGAGTTTTACTAAAAAATATCATTACCAACAAATCTTAAAATTATTATTATTACCAACAATCTTAACATATGTTTTATAAAAAAATATCTCGGATAAAATTTGTTTAGTTGAAGGAGACATTCTGCAGTCAGTATGATTCCAAAATTTCAAAATCATGTAAATTGTTTGAAATTAAACTATGTTCGGGTTTTTTTTTTTTTTTTACATAAATCGTATTTTCCTCATATTGCATTAAAAAAAACATTAAATCACTGAAACATGAAAATAAAGATATTTTGTATTTTCGTCATGATACATTCTAATGCAAAATATCTCATAAAGTATTTTTCAATATCCTTATGTTAATATTCTATACATGTTTTGTAAAAGAAAAAAATATTTAATTAACAATCTAATTTTTTGCATAGGTACAATATATTTGCAATAAACAATTGCATTTTTGCTTTAAATATGTGATTACTTATCTTTTAAATAAATTCTTTTCGT